CTTATGTTATTGCATGTGCCATGTCTCTTTTTCTTTCCCAAGCCAAATCTGTGCAGGAGAAGCTGGCAGAAGCCATGTTTAAGGAGTCTCAGTACAGCTCTGAGCCAGAACTCAGCGATACCAGTACTGAGGAGGAGGAGGAGTCCACAGATAAAGGTCATGAACAGAACAATAATGGTACCAGATTTCCATTTGTATTAAAATAATTAAACTACACAAGACAATTGCATTACAGAAAAGCTCCTTTCCTAAACAATCTCTAATTTGTATTTTCAGATATAGTTGCAAAGAGACCAGGAACATCTACAGAGCAGCAACAAACTTTTATAAAAGAGACAAAACCTGAGGAAAGTGTTGGTGAATGTGAAGTGGTTTGGGATCAGGAAGAGGTGTCTGAGCTAAAAGAAAAGGAGGATGGAAGTGAAAATGGGCCTAATGAGAAGAGTGATAGTACTGAACATGAGACAATCGTAGATGAACACAGTGGAAAGGCTGCATCAGAAGAAGCAGCAGCAGAAAATGATAAAGCAGAGGACACAAGTAGAGCTCTGCATCCTGTGTGTGAAGACAACATGACAAAAGAAAACATAACTTCAGAACCTGAAGAACATGTAGCAGCTAAATCCACTGATGCCAGTACTACAGCAGAAGCTGAAGAAAATAATAAAACTGCAGAGGAGGCTGACACAGAGATGGAGCAAGGGGCAAAAAGCAGCACGAAGGATGAATCATCAGTATCAGAGCCAAATAAAAACACTGATGAGACAGCAGTGGCAGATAATGCAGATGTGGAGGCGGCAATGACAGAGAGTGAGACAGTGAAGATGAAAGCAGAGCCCTCAGAGGAGCAAGAGGCCCTCGGCTGTGAAGAGGCACCTGTAAGTGACACAGAGGAGAAGCAGCAGGGAGACAGTGACGACAGTGCTGCAGCATCAGAGACAGAGGTCACAGCAGAGAAATCCAGCAGCTCACTGGATGGAACTGGAGATACTGTGGTGGAAAAAACAGACACAAGTGTGGATAATGCAAGGGATGAGAGCAGTACAGATGATACTAAAGAGGAGGAAGCAGAAGAAGTGTCAGTAGTAGAGGAGAGTAAGAATAATGGTGAAAAGGAGATGCATTATGTGGGAGAAGAGCAGACAGAGAAATGTGTGGAAATAGATGATGATGCAGAGAAGGAGAAGATAATGAAGGAAAGTAATGATGAGGGAAAGCAAACCAATCCAGATGAAATACCAGAAGCTGAAAATAGTGAGGAAAGAGAAAAGGATGGAACAGCTACAAAAGAAGAACAGGCAGGAGAAAAGGTAGAAAATGAGGAAATTAGGGAGGGTACAAAAAATTATTCAGACACAGAAGAAGGAAATGCAAACGGAGAGCCAACTGGGAAAACCCTCGACAAGAAAGATGAAGATGCAAATGAAGAGAGAGTTGATCAATTAGAAAAGCCAGAAAAAGACGAGGATATTAATGAAGGACAATCTGGAGCAGAAGGAACTAAAACTGATCAAATGAATGAGGGTGAAGAAACTGATGAAACAAAGACTGCTGCTGCTGCTGAAGAGCAGAGTGATGAGGCAGCAATGGCAGAGAATGATGAGAATGGGGACCAAGCTGAGCAAAATGAATCTGTGGAAAATAAATATGATGTAGAGGAAAAAGTCCTAACAGATAAGACTGGAGAAGAAGAAGAGATATCTGAGATTCCTGAAGAGCATGAGAAAACTGCGAATGATGGGAAAATATCTTGTGAGAATACAGTTGAGTCAGGATTCCTGAAGAGCATGAGAAAACTGCGGATGATGGGAAAATATCTACTGAGAATACAGTTGAGCCAAAAGACGCTGGTGACAGTGAGGAAGCAGATGGGACTAAAATAACTGAAAACACACTGAACAACACACCTGAGTCTGAAGATGTTGAGAAAGAAACGGAAGGAGCAAAAAAGAGTGAAAACGGAGATGTAGATGTTGAAAATGGGGAGATTTCTAGCAGAGCAGGCAACAACACTCATGAGAATGAGGCAGAGGCTGCAGATGAAAGTGACTTAAAAACAAAATCACATATTGAAGATGAACAAAAAACTGAGGAGCCTACTAAAGATGAGGGCCCAGCAGGTGTGGAGTCTGTAGACAATGCTGAAAAACAGGAAGATGACAAGGTGGACCAGGCTCTTGACACAGATATGGTGGAAAGTGAGGCAAAGGAAGAAGGAAAGCAAGACAAATCTGCTCAAATACAGCAGGAGGCAGCTGGTACAGAGCTAAAAGAGGAATCTAAATCAGAGGGAGAGGACAATGAGGAAACTAAACAAGATGGAAAATCTGAGCTTGATGATGAAAACAGAGATTCAGATTCAACTAAAAATAATGAGAACATCCAGAATAATGAAGACACTGTTGTTGGTGACCTCTCTGCTGCCAGCAGAGAAAATGGGGCAGACACAGAGGAGGTGACCAAAACCTTGAAGGAAGAAACAAGTGTGCAGCACAAACCTCAAGCACAAAACCATGAAGCTGATGAGACAGAAGACGGTGTTGCAGCAGCTGAAGCATCTCCAGAGGCCTTAGCAAGAGAGGACAGCACAGATCTGGTCACAAACTGGGTAACCATGCATCAAGCATCAAAGTTATTTGAGAAGTTTGTTGAACCTCCAGAAGACTTGAGGGAAGAGAACTTGGATGCCCAGGTGTCCAGCTCTACTGAAGAAGTGATGCTGAGCTCAGAGAGCCCACAGATTATATCTAATGAAGAAAAGGAACAAATGCTAAAAGATGAAAATGCTTCTGGGGAAGAAACCAAAGTGGAAACTTTAGAGTCAGATGAAGGAACATCCCAAGAGAAGGAGGTGAAAGACTTAACAACAGAGGCTGAAGAAAATGATAAAGAGTCTACAAATGGACATGAAACAACATCAGAAGAGCACAAAGGCAGCAGGGGACCTCTTGAGGAAGACAGTGCTCCAGATGGACCAGCAGAGACACAGAATGATATTTCCAAAACTGAAGTGGAAAGCATTGCAGGCACTCACCATTCAGCAGCCAGTGGCAAGCCGGAGAGTGTCACTGAGAACCTGCCAGAAGAGGAAACTCATGACAGTGGTCCAGACATGGATGAAGAACAAACAGAAGAGCACCCCGAGCATTTAGTGAGTCCAGACGAACTGAAAGAAACTGAGGAAATGCAGGCGAAAACAGATCAACAAAGTCGAGAAGCTACTGAAATAACTGACTTTACAATGTCCAAGTCTGAAGATGGAAGCCAGGAGGGGTCCCACACTGGAGGGATCCAATCCAAACCGCCTGAGGGAGACGGATCAATAGACCTGCAGCTGATCAAACACACTCTCACTGAAACGTTGTTTGGTCACACTAAAGTACAGTGATGCTTTATTTTTGTGTGTTTTAAAGGAAGATATTCTGATAGTGATTCAACTATTCAAGCTCATGAATTATTTTTCAATAAGTAAAAATGCTTTCAGACAATCACATGGTGGTCAGCATTTGCAGTGGTGAAAATGGGTTTAGTGGTGGTTTCTGTGTTACGCTTGAATGGCTTCTGAAATAGTTTTCTTCCTTTAACCCTCAGAAAGAAGAAGCTGCATAATGAACTTTGCTGATTCATAAAGTGTTTACAACAGACCACCTCTTCCTACGGTATTGTTGGCGAAGAGGTACAGCGTTTGTGAGGCATCACGTCCACCTGCTGTCACCTGTAAACAGATACTTCCACTCACACTCACAAATGACTGAATAATTCATAGAGGTAGCGGACTCCCACAGCCTGGTTTGCCCTCGCAGATGTCAGCCCTCTACTGACTTGGAACAAGCATGAAGTTACTTCAGTTTTGGTCAGAGATTTGTAGCTTCACTGTGTCTGTGTTAACGAATAATAGGCTGCTAAAACAGCGTAGTGAAACGTGACGTCTGGCCACAGATTTGTGTCATTATTGCTGCTACCGCCACCTCTTTAAAAAAACAAAACAAAACAAAACAAAAAAGCAAACAGAAAAATCATGCATAGTATTTATTTGTATTGGCTTTTCATCATATTTTTATGGCTAGTGTGGGTTTGTGGGGTTTCACCTTTTTATTTGATATCTGTCAGTGACCGAAAACTTGCATGATTTAGGCATTTATAAAATAAAAATAAGGCTGATGATGCCTTTCTGCTTTTTTCTTGACAAAAACAAACTGAATGTCAAGATCATGGCACACATTTCTGTAGTTCTCCAAGCTTGTATACAAGTCATTTGCAAACTATGTACACACAAAAAAAAAAAACATTCTTGTCACACATATTTACAGGATCAGGTGACCTCAACGTAATAAGCAATTTGTACATATTGTATGTATCAGATAAACCTAATATAACACAGGACTAAACTTACCTAATTAGCAACAACTACTACTTCTACCACATGTTCACACAGTTTCACCCAAAGTGAATTCACACAAATACAATGAATGTCTGAACTAATAAGGTCTGGAGATGTTGGGAGCTCCACCAGGTTTAGTTACTGTCCTCAAAGCTGCCGCTGCTGCTGAAAGAGGAGCAGAATCTCATGGTGCTCATGGGATCAGACACATACCCTGAGAGAGACATAAATCCACAACTGTGACACTGACGCATGTTTTGTGGCAAGTCTCGCCTGTGAATAAAACTGATGATAACAACAAGGCTGATAACATTCTCCATTTGTTTTATTGTCAACAAATCCCCATGAAAAGCAAACAAAAACCGGATCCTACTAACAAGTATAATCTGTGCAGCCTGCTCATTCTTCTGTGCCATAGAGCTTCACTGTTGTCCTGACCAGTTTTTTCATTACTAGGAACATAGGCACTGTTGGTTATTTATTTTTGGTTGATACATACAATGTCCAAATGCCATAAAAGCCCACTAGTGCACTAGATGTGTATTAATCCACTGCTGAAAATAGTCCCTAACAAATGCACTTTTTACTCCTGTTGGAAAAATGGTTGCTGCTCTAGGAAATTACTGAGGCTTTTTAAAAATAAACCTGTATACTTGTGACTTCTTACTTTTTACTTTAGTGGGATTTGTTGACAATATGAATAATATAGAATAGTACAACTTGTACAGTATCTCTGAAACTTACAATTTATTTTGAAAAAGGTTTAAAAATGATGGAGGACAATATATAAGGAATTTAAAAGGTTTAGAAAAACACTGGCACTGAATAGTGGATAAAATAAACAATAATGCTATGTGAAAATGGATGAAATTAGATTTATAGAACAAGAGTATTAAAGAAAAAAAATTAAAAGATGATACTTAATTTGCATCCCTACAGAGAGGCAGTTCGAGAAATATTCTGATTTATCATGACACTAGTGTGAGTCTGGAGTGTTTAAATAAGACAACTTCACTTACAAAAGCAATTATTGTTTCTAAGTATTCTGCACACAAACCGTTTCGATCGATAGGAGAGAACTGCATGCTCCTTCTTAGCTCCTCCAGTGAAAGGCCTCCAGATGCTCGACGCCGCTCGCTGAAAAGTTTAATAAAATCAGCCCTAGCTCATTAATCCACTGCAAAACAGCACACATCCATAAATATATACTGCTTCATTTACATGGGGCTAAGACAGATGAGATGGTGTCAGGTACACGCAGAAGAAACTCAATCTGTAATCTGCTCTTACTTTCTCTGTGGGAGTGCTGTATACAAAATTGATGATTGATTGATGGGGCACCTCCAAACACAATCTGTACAGCTTCATCAAAAGAAAGCCAACTTTGATGCTCAACTATATTTATTTAATATTTGAACACTCTGTATAATATATTTAAGACATGCATTTAATGTGGTGTAAGCATGAGGATAGGCAGTGTCTGACTTTTGCTAGTGCATTCACGGGGACTGTTACTAGGCTCCGACTTTTCTCTCTCTCTCTCTCACACACACACACACACGTGCATTTCTATCTTTGTGAGGACACTCATTGATATAACACATTCCCTAGCCCCTTACCCTAACACTTAACTATCAGAACTAAATGCCTAACTCTAACCCTAATACCCAACCCTAACCTAAACCTAATTCTAACCTGAACCCTAAAACTAACCCTTAACCCTCAGAAAGGTGTTTCAGAAAGTAAGGACCTGCCAAAATGTCCCCACTTTGTAGTGTATATGGTCCTCATTATGCAGCAATTACAAGAACACACACATACACACACGCACAGGACTTTCTCTTCAGGAAGAATGTCACGCTTGTTTTATTGCGTTTGCTTTCCTTTGTTTCCTGTTCGGTATCTGAGCAACTCCTCTCCTCAGTGTTGCAGTAAGTATCTTAAATGGTGTGGCATAACAATGGTTTGGAGGGAGCTGTTTCTACAAGCCCAGCCATGGTATTTGTGGAGTCCCCCAACCACCCACCCCGATTAAAAACCACACTAGATTTAGTGGTTTCAGCTTTCTAAAATACTTTCTGAAGCCATTTTTCATGTGGTAAGTGGGAAGATTATTAATATAAATCAAATTAAGAAATCTGTGTTCCCTCTACAGTGATGACAGCAAAAACAAAAGCTATATCTACTTAAGTAGGTAATGGCTAGTTCATTAACCCTTCCTACACCTGAAGAGATGAACCCACCATTACCTGGGATCTCAAGAAACTTTGGGATTTTCAAGAAACTAGCAAACAATAACAAAACACAGGGCATCTATTCTGGGGAAACCGTCAAAGTTCCAAAGCTACCTACTAAAATCTGTTTTGCTTTAACAGTTGTTAATAACGTTTAGGAATTTGCAGAGAAAACGATTTAAGTATCATCCAAAGTGAGTTGATAAGACGTAGCTTTTATGAAGACAGTCAAGAAGGGGCGTGCCAATGCTAGTTTGTTATATACGACATAAAATACTGTAGGTATTTAATATAGATTTTGACTGTTTTAGGGGAGTTCAATTGTTTTTCTTTGTATTTAAAAGACTGTCCTAATTACACAGCTGTTATTTTTTAACTAGGTCCCAATCAAGAAACATAAAGTCTTCATTTGGTAAGCACCATGTTGCTGAGTCACTGAAGCAGGAACACTTAAACAGCTTATTACGAAGACTGACCAGAGTTGGCAATGGCCAGTAGCTGGGTTATTGTGTGCATGTTAATCTGGCCATTATTCTCACCCTCTTGACCTTCACCTGTGTGAGGAGATGCTTCTGTTCTCTTACCTCTGAGTCCAGAAGGCGTAGGCACGAGTGTTGAGAGCATACTCAAGCTCAAAACGAGAGCGAAGGGCAGCCACGTGGCTCCGGCCAGGCCCTCCTCGTCCGAGCAGACAGTCAGAGGAGGAGGAGGGTGACAGGGAGCCGCTGCTGTTACTGGAAGCTGGAGACATCAGCTGGTACACAAACACACACACACACACCAACAGCAAGCTGGTCATAACTGAGAGAAATGAATTAACAGAACATGTAATTCACTACAGTAACCCTGGGGGTGACATTTAAGAATATATGGGATATTATCTACCTCAACATTGCACAAGCATTCCTCCAGGTTGGAAACCACTTCAGAGAACTCAGGCCTGTCCTAAAGCAGAAAAAACAGACTGCAGATATATTTTTTTCTGCAGCAGGTACCTCCCACAACAGACATGCCCAGTTTGTTCTCTCTAATGTGGTCCTGTGTTTGTTGCTTATTTTAGTCCACCCAGACGTGAAGCAAAGGTGAGCTCTGCTTCAAAAGCAGAAAGGCCTTAGATCTCTTGCCACTCAGTTGAAGAATAAACACTGTCACCCTGGAGCTGCTCAACCTCAGACAGTGACTAAGCTGTGCACATAATGTCTTCAACACAGGAACACAAGAGAGAAATGTAAAGTTGAAAAGATAAGAATGCAACAAACCCTAAATGTCATTATATTTTGACTTTTGCAAAAGCTTTTATCTGCTGATTTTAGGGTCTTTGGGAGCAATCAAGTTGTTCCTGCCCTAAAGAAAAACATCTTATATAACATTGTTTGGAAATTTCAAATTAGATATGCATCAAGTTGTAAAACCTACTTATTCTGCAGTCTTCCTTCTCACAGACTTAGACAGATACATTTTACAATACAAATCCTGTAACCACAGTGCAGCATGTCCCATTGGTGCACCATATCAGACATGCCACTTTAAGCCTGTTACACCCATACTCCAGGTGACTCTGGGATGAGGCGATCACAGAGGGAGACGTATCCACAGGCAAACCAACAGCTGGTTGACAGCAGGAAGGAGACGTACCACAGAGGAAGAAATATGCCAACATGCTCTGTGTGTAACATTGTGTTTAATGAGGGCAAGAAAAAACATGCCTGGCTAATTATGAATATTACTGAGCAAGGGCTGTCTAGGTCATGTGTGGTCATAAATGTGAACAGCCGTGCAATAATAGATCATCTGGGGACACGGTTGCTTTCACTACTGCTGCATTTATTTTCTGGAGCAGCCGACTCAGCATCATTTACCTCTCACATATTCAGTGTGTTGGGATGAATGCTACTGGCAATAAGGGTTCAAATTAAAGAAGTGAAGTCAGGTCGTTCACCTCTGGGCAGGCGTTCCAGCCTCTCATCAGAAGTGCAGAGATGGGTTTGGGGATGGAGTTACCAATTGGAGGCCGGACATGGTGGTAGGCCATGTCTGCTGCTGCAGCAGCTGAGGGCAGAAGAAGAACGTAGCTTTAAAATATTTTTTTGGTATAAATTTGTCTATGTTTTCAATATATTTTGTCATTATCAGTGGAGGAAATTAAGTACACTTCTTCTTATACTGTACTTAAGTACAATTTTGATATCTGTACTTTGAGTATTTTCATTCTCTGCTACTTCATACTTTGACTTCACTACATTTTAGAGGCAAATATTGTACTTTTTACTCCACTACTAACTCCACCACCGATCTATCCATCCATTATCTATCTGTGCTTATCCTGAGAAATGTGGGGGGGCTGGAGCAAATTCTTTGTGAGACAGCAGCGCTAACCACTGTGTCACCATGCCGACCTACCGTAAGATCTTTTTTGAAACAAACACACACTTCCTGACTTTTGTCAAAAACAGCCAGATTTACAGATGTGTTTAAAATGTTGGGAATACAGAATACCCTTTTCACAGCAGACTTACTTTTAAAATTTCATGTGTTACTGACAACTTTAAGGACGATGTTACCTTTTTGTTACATGCCCTAGAAGGTCGTGACAGTGCGAGTCAGTATGCACAATAACAGGAGGCTGAAACTGAAGCAGTTACATGCGAACATCATTACAGCCCAAAATTACTGTCAAGAAAAATACCGGGTTTTAAGTGGGCGAAGGGAATTTCCCCAGTCAGCAGCTCCCACAAGCAGAGGGCGTAGCTGAATATATCTGCCTTCACTGAATAGCGAGTGCACTGGGTGAACACCTCCGGAGCCATCCAGCGCAGGTTCTGCACAAACACACGCATATTTAGGCTTAAGTGAGGGTTTGGTTGACAGACTGGAATTTTATAAAATCAAGACATTAAGCCAGGCCATCACATTACTGGCATAAACACTGCATCCCAGCAAGGGCGAGTAGTTCCTCACCAGCGGCAGCTCTCAAGAGATGTCACACAATTAACACCAAAAACTATATGCCAAGCACTCTATGTAGTGATGAGTCAGTACATTCAGACAAAATCTGGATGAGGGCAGTTTTGTTTTTTAGCTGGTGAGCAATTGATGGCAGGTGCCAACAGAAGCTCTGGCTTGGACTCCAAGAGCACATTTTTTAATAGAACATGCCTCATTCTTCCAAGGATACTGCAGATGGTGTGAGAGTATTTAGAGCAACAAACCCATTCCAAAACATTCTGTGTGAGTTATCAAATAAATCAAACAGAGGAAACAGAATTGACCCCGGGTTGCTTGGTCATGTTATCTTCATCCACAGACTGAAGAAACCTGGATTCTGCAGAGGAAGGGAGGAACATGCAGTGGTCAGACACTGTACATCCATGTCCAGTTATGTCATCTAGCTGTAATTTTATCAGCAGAGTCAGTGAATAAAGTCTTTCATTGCCAGGAACTAACCAAACGAAACTTGGCTGTAAATATTTCCCTTAAGTGTAGAAATGGGTGACAGCAAAGATATTACATATCATTATAATCATTTTTTTAACTACAGTATATCACAATATCAGCTACTACAAAGTGAAATGTTAAAGGTAGTGCTAGTGATTAATTTCAAAAGCATTTTTGTTTCATTTCTTGAAATGAATGAATACATTAAATGCACTGACAACATAAATAAAAAAAGTCTGTCATCTGTGGCAGTGCATGGTGCAGTGTGCATGCAAGTCAGAATGAAATGGTGGGACTTCTTCGGTTGGTTACTTTCAAAATCGAGCTTCCTCTTACTGGTTTTTCTAGGAACTCCAATCTTAAAGCAAGTTGATGCTATTTTACATTGAACTGCATGGTCACACGTAAGCTTTAATTCCAGCCATTATCTATACAACTTATCCTGAAGAGGGTCGCTGGGGCACTGACATTGGGTGAGAGGCGGGGTACACCCTACACAGGTCCCCAGCCTATCACAGGGCTTACACTTAGAGACAAACACAAACTCCTACGGGCAATTTAGAGATGTCAGTTAACCTAAGCTGCATGTCTTTGGACTGTGGTAGGAAGCCAGAGTACCCGGACAGAACCCATGAAGGCACGGGGAGAACATGCAAACTCTGCACAGAAGGGCCCTGGGTCGGCCGGGGCCCAAACCTGGAACTTTTTTGCTGTGAGATGACAGCGCTAACCACTCTTCCACCATGCTGCCCTCATTTAGAGGATAGCATTAGTTATTAGTTTTATAAATAATTTTATCACAATATAAACCTATTAGAATAACATTTTAAATTAAATATATAGTCAAAGTTCACTTACTTTTGTATTAAAAAGAGTTTTTTTTTTTAAGTTCCTGTGGACAGAAAGGAAGTTTCCCATTCCTATTTTTTTCTGTATTGATATTGGCCCATGACTTTAAAGCTGAATTAAAGCGAAGCTACATAAACTAACTGAACAGCAGTGACTATAGACACAAGCAAGTGTTACAAAACCATGGTAAATCTGAAAGCAGTATAGCACAGGTGGAGAAGAGTCAAACTAAGTAAACTAACTGAGTAATGTCTGTTATACACCAATATTTATTGAAAATTTGTTAATGTGTCCCACCATGTTGGATACATAGCTTTAACTTTAATCTTTTTTCTTACCACTAGGTGACATAATGAAGCTAAGAAGTGTCTCAAGTTGTTATCATGGATGTATTAAACAGTAGATCCAAAGATACCCGTTTATTTATTTAAATGAATGCTGCTCACACAGTGAATACATCTGTCACCTTACCAAAAGTCAGTCCATTCAATGCTGATATAACAGTGGTCATTCAGCTTTCATTTTCTCTCTACAACAAATAAAACAGCACTAAAACTCTCTTACTTTACCTCCAAAGTCAGCCACCACAGCATGTCCATCCTCATACAGCAGAATATTGTGACTGGAAGGAGCACATGTATTATTTGCAATGACAACAGTTATTTCAGACTGTCAATACCATTCTACCACAAATGTTTACAGCAGCACCCACCTGTTGAGGTCCCTGTGGATGATAGGCTGGGTGAGGTTGTGCAGGTACTCCATGCCCTTGGCCACATCGATGGCAATGATGAGCTTGGACTGCAGGTCGATAAGCCTGTCCATTGACACATCATTAAAGCAGCAGCCACTTAGTGTCAGATCAATGGGCCCTACCAATCACACATAGCACTTTACACAGATCAATAGGACAGTCTATAAAGACAGCACCTGGCCACACAGTTAGCAAAACACTTCGTCTGGATCAATGATGATCCCAGCTGAGGACGAGAGACTGAGGAGGAGAGGCTTCCAGAGAGGATAATGAGACCTGAAACAGTCAAGTGTGCTCTGCAAACACATGCCTGTATGACACTGAGTAACTCCTAAAGATAGTTTGACTTCAACTTGCATCTTAACAACGGTGTCAAAGTGTGTGGGGGGAACCAAGTTCTTTCACGGTTTCTTTGTTTAGTTTAAGAACAGTTTAAAAAAATAGAATTTAAAATGGAATTAATAACTTACAGTCCTGGACTGGTTATGAAACAGTGGGCCTCTGGGCACAAGCGTAAAAGGCCCCCACCCTCCTACGTAGAAAGACTCCCAGAATGAAACAAAGTTTTATGTCTTGTGCTTTCAGTTATTTTACATATCTATGGTTGTGTTGAGCCTATATTTTGTTGTTTTGCATCTTTGTAGATATTTTGCACCTCGTTTTAATCTTTTTGTGTCTATATTTCATTGTGGCACTTGTTTCACAACTGTTTTTCATTTCTTTTTTCGTTATTTTACTTCACTTTTTAGTTTCTTTGCATCGCTCTGTGATTATTTTTCTGTGTTTTACTTGTTTTTGTCTGTGAGGTTATTTTGCATGTCCTTGTACTCATTTTGCATCTATGTGGTTATTTCTATTTGTGGTTGATCGACTTTCCAACATGAAATGCTAACAGTCACTTTTAACAAAAGCTCTGGTCCAGGGGCCCAGTACAGAGAGTTTTACACTCCTGATCAATCAGTATAAATCAGTCTTAGTCTTCCATAATTATACTTATAAGTCTTAGCATTAGCACATATATCATTGTTATATGTGTGTCAACTTGTTAGAATTAATAACCGCATAACGCTAATGCGTGTGAAGAGGGGAAGCTGACAGGTAAGTTCTCAGTTTATTAGCTTGTGCGTGTCTCAATGGGCAATGGATGATGAGAACTCATATACTGTATGTTAGGCACACTGTGATATATACTTGGTGTCTGCAGACTTCCTCACCTCTTCTGCTCATGCAGCAGGGAGAACAGCGAGCCTCCAGAGACATACTGGGTGACGATGGCAAACTGGCTGGGGTCATCCAGGCACGCCCCAACAAAGTGGATGATACATGGGTGATTGAGGCGACAGAGGATGGAAACTTCTCTGCAGAACATGTCCACATCTGACTTTGAGCAGTACGTGTTGGCTCGATAGCTGCAGAGAGAGAGGATCTAGTACCTGATCAGCTAAACTGAAATCATCATCTAATCACTTTGAGTTGTGGGTTAAATGTACAAATACCGTTTTATGGCAACAATTTTGTTTCGGCATTTGCCTTTATAGACTCTTCCAAAGGAGCCTGAGGGTTAAACAGATAAAATTTTTAATAATATTATCAGATTTGGAAGCATATAAGTTGAAATGAAAACGTGACAAGGCTGAAGAGAGTTACCTGAACCAATAATTTCATTAAACTCCAGCTCAGACAGCTGAAGGTGAAAATGAGATGGGAGACTCGCCCTGAGCAGGAGAACCTCTGCTTTCTCTGAAAAGAAAGGGCAGAGACTAATTTGTTAACTTTACAGGGAAAGGTCACCCTGTTGTTCTTTTGAATTCAGCACCCCACTGCCAGGGAAATATTTTAACCCTTATATTTTACTGTTGATGTTTAGAGGATTAAAACCTGGGTTTCATTACATTCACATTAATAGTTTCTCAGACATTACTCCTTCGATATCACACAAATGAAGATGGATCTGTAGTTCACACCAAGGACAACAGCTAGGTGATACCACCAGCCCCTTCCCTTGCCAACAGACACAGAATGTGCTGTCATGTTGTCTGACAGTGATGTGAAGTGTGGGAAAATCTGTGCTTCACCCCACCTCACTACCTTTAGTCATGCTTTTGATCTTTCCCAGAGGAGACGGGACAGAAACATAGGAGCCATCTAGAAGAGAGTCGACATATTCAGGCACATTAACTGGAGGATGTTTGTGATTTTATTCAAGATAACATTTAAGGGCACGACTCACCGCCTCCTGGCTGGGAGTACTCGTTGCAGGGGGAGTCATCTGGACGTTTGTAGTGTTTCAATAAGGTGACGATGGCATCATGACCTGGAAAGCACAACAACAGAATGGTAACGTGAGTTTTAATGTGCTTTTTGCTGACAGATAGGCTCACATACAGGTGAACAGACCTTTCTCATAGGCCCACATGAGGCAGGTTTGCTCATCCTTCTCCCCGCTGGACCTGCTCGGGTCACAGGCAACCAGGTTCATGTCTGCACCACTGTCCAGCAAGAACTGCACCAGGCGGATGTGACCATGGAAACAGGCACTGTGTAGACCTGCACAGTGTCACAGCATACACATGAAAATTGCCGCCGGTCTTGTATTCAATTTAACTCAACAAAGAAGCTATGCTAGTTTAAAGGATGTAAAGAGTCACCTGTATGGCCATCTCTGCCCTGATGGTTGATGCTCATAGCATTCTGGCTCAACAAGAACTTGACCAGCTCCAGGTCTTTACCATAGGTGCACGCACTTTGAGAAAGGATAGGCATTCAACATCATGTCAGAGCAACAGGAACCAGGTTAAAGGAGATGCTCAAAAGAGTGACCTTGGCAAATTGGTCATTTGGTGTCTTTGTACAGTATACTGTATATATATGCATTTGTGTCTCTGTTTTGTATACTATAAATAAAGACAGCATGCTATACACTACCTGTGAAGTGCTGTCTCGCTGAATATGTTCTCCTTTGAAAGACTTTCTGTGCCGGCAAGCTGTATAATCTCCTTCACTGCTGCAAATTTGCCATTGTAACAAGCCCTGATGAAACACAACACTTCATATACACTTTGTCAACTACCAAGAAGTTAGTGAATGCAATTATCACTGTAAATCATTTACAGGTGTAGTGGCGTGTCCCCGTAGATATTGACGGAGTGAGGCTGTGCGTCAAAGTTGCCCTGCAGGAGGAAATGCACAATCTTATGGTGACCAAAGCGCGCACAGAAGTGGAGAGGAACATGATCTTCATTGTCCTGGTCATTTACTGAGGAGAAGACCATCAAAGTTCAAGAAATTAAACTGTTGTTCATGCAGTCATCCGCAGGTACATAATTTAATTAGCTTCCGGCTTTAGAAGCAGGAAATCAGTAAGCAGGCTGTTTTACAACCATAGGAAAGTAAAGTGTGTACTAACCTACGCTATTATGTTTCATTTACAGGCCACCGGCTCTTAACTAAATATATTAAAGTGCTCTCTCAGTCTCAAGTCTCACCATTAGCTTTGCTCCCTTCCCCCATCAGCAGTTTGACGATGCCAAGGAAGCCCTTGGCTGCAGCCAGGTGCAGCGGTCGATCACCCACCTCGCCACTCACATTCACATCCGCTCCAAACTTTAGCAGCAGCTTTGCCACCTGGAAGGTGGAGAGAGACAAGAAGAAACAAGTAGTATGATTTCAGTTGAGAGAAGTGTCCGTCTTAAACTGTTCTGAAACTACACAGAATGCAGATGTGATTATCAAGAGAAATTTACCTGCTCATGACCATTGTAGCAAGCAATATGCAGGGGGGTGTAAAACAATGCATCCTGGACATTCACATAAGCCCCATGCTGTAGGAGTATATCTGCTGCCTGACAGGAAAATAGGAAATTATTTTAAGAAGGCATTGAAAAGCTGGTGATAATGTTTCCCACAGGCACCGAAGAGAAAACAATGCGCAGGTTCAGCTCTCACCTCATGGTGCCCAGCCAGTGTAGCAACATGCAGAGCAGTTAGGGCACCATATCCCACCTGCTGGACATCTGACCCTCCATGAAGAAGGGCCGTCACAAGCTCAGCGTTGTCCTGTGACATGAGGGGGAATCGCACATGCCATCACCATTTAAGTTAATGCTGCTAAACCATACTGCCTTTGTGTGTCCTTGCACTCCACCATGTGGCAAAACACGAAAAGCTCTTGACTAGATGTCAAATAACACAAGCAAGACAAAGACATTCATTACAGCTAGACATATGTTTTGAAATCTGACACTTTCATTCTTCTTTACCTTGTAAGCAGCCAGGTGGAGAGCAGTGAATCCATTCCTGGACAGTCTGGAAGGACGCAGGCCTTTGAGCATCATGGTGCGAATATGGGCCTTGGTCCCTGGTCACAAAGATGTATTGTCATGTAATGGAAAAATACTTAAATCAACAAAGCATCAAGTTATGTATGGAAGCCATAACATGGTAAAATAACCTACATCTGAACAGCTGAAGTCATAAAGTGCTGGTGTAAATTGTAAATTTATTTTACTTCTTATATGTATAAGAATTTAGAATTTGTTTGCTTTATACGCTCAACAACAAAACGTCCACCTTCAGACAATAACCTCAGTCAGTCCAGTGTAATCTTTCCTTTTACTGTCGCATTTTATTGTGGAGTTATTAATAGACTAATGTAGTCATGCATACCTCCACACACGCAGCAGAGATGCAGCAGCGACAGCCCCTTCTCTGTTCGATAGCAGTAGTTCACCTTCTGAAAAGCCTCATCAGAGCTAAGCCACAAAATAAATAAATAAATCGCCTGCTTGTGACAACTGAAAACCCAGACAAAAAAATAAGAACACATGCATACAGTAGGCACAGCATTTATTAAAGAAAATTCAGATTATGCTGTAACTCATACAGACTGAATTCCAGTTTTAAAATCAGAAAACATTTGTCACCTGAAGGCAAGTTTAAGATCCGCAAGCTCACTATCTTTGAGCTTAAGGTCGTCTTCCAACCTCTCGACGATCACAGAGTATGACTCGCCAACCTTCTTCTTCCACTCATCTTCATGGCCCCATTGTCACAGTTAAACATAACAACCATTTAAAAATATAATGCCCATTGTTTACTTAAAATGCACTGATATCCCTAATTTATTTACTACATAAATTAATGAATTGACATTTAAATTAATGAAGTATGAATGATGAATACCTGTGTAGCAAAAAAGCAAAGCCCACACTTCTAAATTCAAACTTTGCTGTTAGTCCCGAGGAAATACAATAAAATTACCATTACCTGTACAAGTCTGAGAAGGTCTTGATTTGTAATTTCCCATTGATAAGATCCTTCTCTTGTAATCTGTGCTGTATAGTTTGAACAACAGTAAAGCAGTAATACAATCTTACTCTGCCACAATTGTGCACAGGACCAGATAAAGGGGGATCATGACTGTGGGCTAAAAATAAACACCTTTGAGTGGAATGCCTAACAACTAGGACAACTGATCTCCCTCCAAATGCAAGCAAGTGTGTGTCAGGGTGTGTGTGTGTGTGTGTACACAGCCTACGGTATAAAACAAAGCAACTGTCTTACACTATCCCAGATATCCTACCAAAGCAATTCATGTAAATGTAGTCTGGCTGATGAACTGAAACTGAAGTGTGCTGCATTTTCTACTGTTTTGTCCAATAATAGACTAGTTCAGTGGTGCTCAGAGCTTTTCTGTCATTCTTATCATGGATTTTTCACAGCAGGTCTGTAGATTTGTGATAGCAGGAAAAGCACAGATGAAACTATAAAAGATAAGGTAGGATATTTGAATTTGTCATTTTCAAGTAGAAAACTGTACATGTACAAAGCAAACATACAAAATGGCATGTATCAATTATCAGAAACATTACACCACAATAAATGTGGTAGCTTTAATGGTCCAGTCACCTCTGTGTGATGTCATTGTATAGTCCTTTCCTGAACTTCAACATCTCCTCCAGGTTCTTACACTGTAAACACTCCTGCATAGACATCAGCTTTGTGCCTCTGGGCAAGGTGAATGTGGAGCCATCCATGACAGCCTTCAGCATTTCCAGAGACATTGAGACAGAGCTTTGTTGGTCAGAGCAAACAGGAAACAGACAAGCATTCCACAAACTACAGCTGGACGTGTCACCAGAAAACCTCAGGACTTCATTATCCATCTCCCAGTGGGACAAACACTCTGCTAGGCTGAAGCCAAAAAGCTTCAGCACCTCCATATATGCAGGGGCTTCCACACTGTGCTTCAGGTTGTCATTAATCCCAAAGACAACAGTCACAAACCCGATTCGATCCTGGTGGTTCACAGACAGTGAGTGCATAAAAACTCCACCGGGCACCGAGAGGCCTGCACTGACCCGGCAGCTGCTGACAACAGAGCCCTTACCAACAACAACTCCTGCTCCCAGTCTGGAGTACTCGACAACTGATTCTGCTCCCACAGAGCAACTAGGATCGAGGACACTGTACATAACACAGCAGCCAGTGGATTTTCCAGAATTTTCATTCATGTGTACACTGAAGGCAGACGACAGCAGGTCCAGCTCACTTCTCAGTGCCTCATCCTCAGTAAGGTGAAAGAGGTATTCTGAAGTGGTTCCGATGTGATAAAACTTGGAGTTATTCAGGAGAATGACATTGAGGGGAGTGCCTTTTAGATGACGGAAGATCTTTTGGCGGACTTCCACCAGACCTCTCTCCTCTCTAGTGACATTTGCACTGTTGTTGGTGTAATCTATTGTGGCTTTAGGGCCCAGTGCTTGAAGAAAGTCCCCATATGCGTCTATTTCACAATGCAAAGCCCCCAACTCTTTCAGCAGATTAAGAAGAGATGTTGCAGTGTCAAAGTCTACATAATATGTGCTGTCTGTGTAGACGAACTCAGCATCACGTAGAGAAAAACAACCACCCTGCCTCTTAAAAACAGCCCCACTGTCCCGCATTTTCTCAGTCCCCGGCTTATGCAGATATTGCAAACAGGAAATGTTCTCCATTTCCAAGTTAGTCAAATTTTCATGTGAATCCAACACAAACACCCCATGGGTGGTTCCGATAGAGAGTGGGGAGGGGTGGGCCAAAGCTGTGAAGCCAGGTTTATCAAAGCAAACTGTCTCATCCTCTGCAGTACTGTAGAGCTCAATGTCATCTGCACAGGTCACCAGAATGCCAGGCTTCATTTCAGATGGGAAATCCACATACATGGCCAGTTTGAGCTCCAGCATCTGGTAGAGAGGGTCACCCACTGGCATGGCAGTGAAAATCTTCCCCAGGGCGCTGGCACTGGGCAAACGCTGACTGAACCCACCTTAAAAAATAAGAGGAGAAATGTTAAAGTGGTTTTGATCACACATTTTTCTCTCATTATGTGTTTAAGAATGTTTGTGTTGAATACAAAGTATTTAGTCTCACAATATGGCATAGGATTTCTGAATCTATTTTAAACTTTACAATGTACAAAAAAGGAGGGTTTTCACACCCAAAGTAATGAGACGTTTCCTCTATTTAGTTCACATTGTTACACATCAGCACATTGAAAAAAAATTCATATATGTTTCATCTATGATTTCCTCAGTGTGTAATCTTTTTGTGATTTGGAATTTGACTTTGGTTATATGCAACGTCAACTGTGCCTTCTTGTCTTTGGTCGTGCGTGATGTTCTTTACCTTTAATCTCTGCAGTGTTGTCATGCTGTTAAAAATGTCTTAAAAAATAAATGACTGACCACAGACAGAACTATATTCATAATGTGGTTCATTGATTTAGACTTTTTCCATGTGTTAGTCAACAAGAGGAACCCTGTTACAGTTTATATACTGGGCAAACTTCTCATATACTGCAGGCGTAGTAGGCAACTAGGGACAATGTTAAATCAATAATCAGCACCACTTTGTGACAATATAAGGTTTTACACATTTGGAATTAACAATTAAATATATTGATTTGTCATAAATTTAATTTGCTGGATAAACATTTCTGTTTGGCTATTTATCCTGTTTTCTACATGTACCATGTGATTCTTAGAAAAAGTTGTATGCTATATAGTCAAATAAAATAGCATATAAGTGATAGAGGATTTTAATCCATAAAGCATACAATCATAATTACTTCATACAATTAATCACCTTTTTTAAGTTATAAATTTTAAGGAAATTGTTCAAATATCAAAAGATTAAAACAAGTTACTTCTGATATCTCAAACCTGCATGGATCAGGATGACTCTCAGTCTGCAAAGATCCTTCCCATAGTGGTCCCTCAGCCACTGCAGTGCGTACAGCGTGGAGCCCCCATTCCCTGAAAAACACAAGGTCACAATAATATTAAAGTGGTACTGCCCTGTCAGCCACAAGCAGAGGAGAGTGAAATATTTGGCGCTATACAAATGAATTGAGTTGAACTGAAATTGTTATCAGACCTATCATTCACCTATTTTAGATCCAGGAGGATCTGAGAAGACCTTGTAGTGGATCCCACGGGGCAGCTCTTTTCTGTCAACTTTCTCACTGATCTGCAGCTCATATGCTTCTCTCTGGTTCCCATCCGCTGCAGTCACAACCACCACATCCCAAAACTGACCAGGCCGCATCTCTCGACCTTCACACAAAGAGAAAACAGCAGTTTATAACATGCCCACTTCATAGTGAGAATACAATTAAACCATGGTTTTTAGCTAAATACAGAAACTGAACGTTAACGACATAAGGTTACTGATACAGCCAAAGCCAAACATAAAACTCACCCCGTAGCAAATTAAATTTTCTGAGCTTTGCTCTTGTTGCAGTTTGTAGCCTTTTGACACATTCCTGGCTCATTTTGTCGTCTCTAATCCCCACTGTACGTGTTCGATATAGCGACTAATAACACGATTTTAGTCGATGATTTGTTTCAGACTGCGCAGACTTCACTCTGTAATACTTCCGGGTGTCGTCACGTGGTCGGTAGTTTACATTGTAGGCGGGGAGTGAACGGAGCACGTGGTGCGGGTCGTAGCTTACGGTTTTTCGAAATTGTTTTGGAACTATCAAATTTTCTACCCTATATATGATCCTTTGATAATATTAACTAAAAGTTGATAAATGACCCAACCTATAATAAAACAAAAAAAAAAAATAGTACATGGACATCGTATTTCTTCAACACAAAATATGCTTTATCTTGTAATTACCTGTTTTTCGCGAGGCTTCAGCTTAATATATAAAAATAAATAAACTCGTAACTCTCTGCTTAAATCAAACAATTTAAAAACTTTATTCAGCGAAATAGAAAACAAACATAACAAAAGTATCTGTTTCAGACATATGTTCATCAATTTAAACTAGTTTCATGCCCATGATAGTTTGTGTAGTCTGGCCAATAAAACATGACTGTCTCAAAATAATACACTGCTGACATTGTATTAAATACTTAAAACTGTATAAGAAAATATGACTCTTTGACTTATAAATTAGTGTGGCACAAAGTTTTCCATCATATACTGACTAATAAATCTTTCGGTTTTAAAGCCGAAAGAGACTCAGAAATATTGTGTACACTTGCTTAATAACTATTAGTTTTGAAGAAAACAAGGAGCAAGTAAAGAAAAAAAACTGCAGAAATTAAAAATTAATGGCCAGGACAAGAGCTTTGTGATCTCAGTGTCCTGTTGTGTCACAGTGCAGAGGATGGCAGAGCAAGCAGCCTGTCCTTGTTGGCCTCCAGGAAATGGCTACATGCAGAAAACACACTGTAAAAGCTGGAGGAGAGGCCAGCGATGTCTGTGGAGATATAGGGGAGGACACCTGGTGTGGCCTGGTTGTAGTAGGTGATCTGAAAACAAACAAACAAAAAAAAACAAAGCAAAGATGTAGTACAGTCTTTTACAACTTGTAATTACTTTTATCTTATGCTGCAGTTGTGCTGTGTGGCGCTATAACATACAACGCGATACTGAGCTAATAGCAAATGTGCATGCCGAAGTGAGCACTCCTCTCATTTGACGAACCTTGGTGACAAAACTGGACTCTTCCCAGATTGTGAAGCCAGCACAGAGAATCTCTCCCCTGGTGTAGTCTTCAGTGGGAGGGTGAGTAGGCAACGTGACAGAACGCAGAGCGATCAGATATGGGTCACTGACAGGGACAAAGGGGGATAGCATCATGAGACTTTATAAAAGAGCAAGCAGTAGACAGTAATGCAATAACCTGACAGGTTGCATAACAAGATAATGCATAAGGAGGAATCAAGAAACATATGCGGTTATGTCAAAATGAAGGGAGTGGTCAAGTAACAAAGACGTGAAGATGTGAAATGACATGAGTAAGGTCGTTTTTAAGTGTTTATTATGTAGCGTTTTACAACACCTGGCATCACATGGCTTTCTCAGAGATGCAAGCAAGATAAAGTCCTGGCCTTTGCCCTCTTTAGTGACAGTGGGTGTAGCTACACGATAAAGGGTGTCATCCTCATCCACGTGGTTGATCACCTCACACTCTCTGCAGCAGACATACACAAAGGAATATCAGCATCTCAGACTGTTTTCTCTATCACTTGAGACAATTAAGTAAGCCAGTAAATTATCAAATTATGTTTTGCTTGTAATATAAATAGTGTGAACTTTCAGTATGTGACAACATACAAATGATTTGGATTTTATGCCAAAATAACATTGCATCTAACTTTATCCTTGTGTTTGTTGGTTGGTTGCTACTATAATATAATACAAATGAGGACTTTAAAGGATGTGTCTACTGATTTTCTATATCTCTCCTATTATAAACGGGTATGAGGAATAAAACACAGTGTTGCACTGGATAACACTGTTAACATGAACATGGCCAGTCTTGAGTTCATAACATACACTGCACTGCTGTGTAAATACTCACTGCTGAAACAGTCCACTGAGAAATGCACTATTTATTTCAGTTTGAGTACAATTTGCTAAAGCTTTTTCAAAACATTAGCTATGCATTTGTGAGTTGCTACATATTCAGTAGAAACAAGTGGACCTGAGACAGAGAGCCACAGACAGAACCAGGAAAACCCGAAGTATTGACAGACTAAAAGATTGCTGGTTTTGGTCTTTTTATGTGACTTGTTGACAATAATGGTAAATGGACTGTATTTATATAGTGCTTTTATGCACTGGCCAAAGCGCTTTACAGGGACATCATACACCATTCACACACCGATGACGACAAGGCTGCCACACAATGGCACTAGTCAAGCCACCGGGAGCAATTTTCGAGTTCAGTGTGTTGCACAGGGACACTTAGGCATGTGGGGAGACCAGGAGTCGAACCACCGACTTGCTGGTCAAAAGAGGACTTGCCCTACCTCGTGAGCCACAGCCACCCCATCAAGGTGATAATAGAGAATTACATCTTACATTTTTTGCTTATTCTGCTGTTGCAATGGGAGTAAGTTGCTGTGTCAGATGATGCAAAATGCCAAATATGTACACATGTTACTGACTCATAATGTGGGTCCCAGTCCTTTCTCCTCCTCAGGTCTGACAGTAGGTGGAATGTCTGCTCTGCTGAGATGCTGACATGCATCTCCACCTTGAAACACAACATATGGTTTTGCTCCAGTGTGTACAGTCGAACCTAAGGAATAGACATCAGTGAAGAGGAATGGGGATTACTGTCTATAAATATAATATTAATCAGAGAATATAACTGTATATATTTTGAAAATGACTATATTCAGGTCTTTCTGACTTGTGCATTATTCCACTACTTAATTAAATCATTGTTTTCATCACAGCCATTGTGACTGTGCTTTTTCAGCTTGTTCAAAATAACACAGACCACAACATATGTTGGAATCACAGCAGCTGTAACAATTTAACAAGTGATATCCTAGACAATAATAATAACAACAATACTGACCTTATTTTTCTCAGACGTTAATACCCAGTTGTTTCTGGTATCCATTAATTTCAGTGCTGATACATTGTTATAGCTTAGATATATCTGAAAAAACAAAGGACTGTCTGAGCTCGTGCCTGAGTACAGTCGCAATATGTGAATGGCTTTACTTAGCATGTGTGCCTCTATCTGCTGGAAATGACATTACCTGATTACTTGGGTCCCAGGGCACAGATAAAGGCACTTGAGTTTGTTTGGAGGACGTAATATATTTCCTATAAACACGTAAAGCAAAAATAATATAAAGAACTGTGATCTGACACATTTGATTATCGAATGCAGGAATAAAGACTATACTGGAGACAGGGTGTTTTACAACAGTGAACAAGGACCTTAATATTATTGACAGATGCTGCACAAAAGTCTGCACAGCTGTGACATACAGCTCTGCCAAGTCATGTGCTGCTGCAGAGTATTGTAAACAATGAATTCTGTAGCAGGACACTGGACAAACCAAACAATAATGACTCAGTTTCAGTAGTACATGTATTCATTTACAGTACATTATATACTACAATAGTTTTTTTCTTTGCATATGCTTTTTTCCACATTTTTAAATGATTCCTTAAGTGGAGGATGTTGCTTTGTGATGTACTATTGATATTACAGTATCTTGAGTGAGGCTTGAAAGTACTATATCCACTTACCCAACTAGTTGTGACCACACCTCTTGGTCAAACTCTTAATTCAATTATACAGTACATTACATAAGCCTGTTTGAGTTCTCTGTACCTGATAAAGAGAAATAAATGTTCAGCTCAAAACATACCTTTCCTAACTAACCTATCAACCTAAGTGTAGATACTAACCTATCAAGTCGAATCTTCCTTCTTGCAATGGCTTCTTGATAACGCCTTTTTCCATCCTGTAAAATACACAGAAACAAAATACAAAATGTGAACTTACTGAAAGCTTTCCTTTTATCTTTAGACTGTATTGCCCATTAAAGTCTCTCTAACCCAACAATGGAACTCACACCAGGTGCAGGCCGTATCCGTGGCAGCATGCGTGGTTTCCTGTCACTGTCAAGCACCTCAAAGGTCATAAAAGCACTATTTATATGACGCTGAGGTTCTCCGCCCTGGTAGGCCTCAGCACACACTCCCACCTCCATGCTAGAGCACACCATGGATGGAGGCACATGAGTTCACCAAAACACATGAATAAACACAGACGAAGAGTAAAAGCACACAATAGTAATGTTCAGTTTATTAGATGAGATGATATTTGCCCTTTGTGTGATAAGACTGTGGCTAACCTGTCCTTGAAGGCATTATTAACAATGGCTTTCAGTACCAGTCGGTCACCAATGTGAGATGGGCCACGAAAATGGAACATGTCTATGGTCCTCAGGGTTGGGTGAGCATTACACAAGCGACTAGGTTAAAATATAGAGGAAAAATCAAATAAGAACAGTTTGTTATCTTGTAGTAACTGATATATTTACTTTCTTGCTGAGAGTTAAATGAAAAGATCTATACCACTCTATTTGCCAATTAAATATGAAGCCACTGTACAACTGGCAGCCAGCGCAAAGACTGGAAGCAGGGGAAAAGAGCTAAGGCAGTTTTGTCTGAAAATTCACCTTCAAGCCTTACTAATTACCATGTTTTATCTCATTTGATTATCCTGGACAAAAACTGAAGTGTAAAAAAAGACACCTTGTGGGGTTGTGTGGGTGTATTCCTTGGCTAGGTACAATGTCTTCTTGTCAGTGTCTTCTTCTAGTCTTTGGTGGCTTACTGGTAACCTTATATGCTGCGTTTCCACTATTGAAACCTTATGAGCAGTACACCCTGTACTTTCCTTAACCATCACCAAGCGTAGCATCCGGGGTTGACACAGACAATCCTGCTTTGTTTTTCCACTGTATTTTCTCTCTGCTGGTATTTGTTTAGAGAAGGGAAGGGCTGCACCCCTGTGTGACATGCAGTCAGCTGTGTGTTTACACTGGTGCTTGTAATGCTAATACTTGAAGTGTGAAGGGGGGGTGCTGCTGAAATTTAGCTTCCAGATTGCATTTCCAAAGCAGGTCAAGTGTAGTGTAAACAAACGCAGAACCTGTTTTAGTCAGTGCGACATATTTCAGACGGTTCCTATAATGAAAAACCCCTACAGTGAAGCCACAACTCCAGGAAATCACTGCATCTAGCCAAGAAACAGTCCTGCACATAACCCCACATACTAACTGAGCTTTTTATTAAACAGGTGAGATTTCATTTGTGGGCTTTAGAGGTGCTGGTAGGTGGATTTTGTTACCAGGCTAGCAGTTGCCCCTGTTTTCCAGTTTTTATGCTAAGCTACCCTAACTGACTGCTGCCTGTAGCTTCATATTTACTACACAGACAGTGAAGTGGTATCAACCTAGTCTGATTCCTAGTTGAAATAGATTGTGAAAAATATAACTATATACCTTAATGTAACTATGTATACCTTGCTGCAATCGTAGCCACGTTCTCCATCCAGGCCATGATCTGGCCTCCAAAGGTGCTGACTTGGTGGTTGGCATGTGGTGGTAGCACTAGCTCCACACTCTCCACTCGCGTCCTCTCAGCTGGCAAGGCATCTTGATACTCCTGGCATTCGCCTGATGACAGTGCAAAAACAAGCAGCTTTAATCAGATTTTGAAAGATGCAGACGCTCTGCCGAGGACTGTGTTAGGAACACCATGTACCCAGTTGAGATGTGCTGCTACTAAGTAGGTCTGTAATGATCTCTGCGTGGATGAGCCTCATTCTCCTCCGCTCTGCTGCCAGGCTGTACTCCATCTGCTCCATTTGTGTGTAAGGAATCACCTGCTTCAGTTGTACCTGGGTATATGTAAGACGCAAAAACCAGATGATGGACAAGCTTTAGAAAAGTGCCTTTATGTCCATATTTTGCCTCTTACCTTTCCAGCTTCAGTTCGTCTAGCAACAAAGGTAGCAAAGGCATGGCAAACTTTCCACAGCCTGTCAGTGTAAAGGTCTTCACAAGTCACCAGTATGCCCACCTGAAATGTAAAAAAAAAGAAGACCCCTTTCAACACATTTTCTGAAATAAACAAAATGTCTCTATCCTGGAATCCAAAACAATATTCACCAACCTCCATACTGGATGTGAAGGCTCTGGTGACCTTTGCTATGATGGTGACAACCTTTCCCACCCTGAAGCATGCAGACACAGATTATTCTTTCTGCTGTCAACATAGGAAATGACCATGATCTAAACACAATATCAAACCTCTATTATGAGACATATTATTGAGTGAGCATCAAGACAACTTTAGTGATCAATGTTCACATTTTGCTACTTGTAACTAAAGAGAAATGTTAGTGACCAGCATTTTAATTCAGTAGCTAGAATGATCTGTAGAAGCATATACAGTAAGTACAGGAACCTTCTATTGATACATTTATTAATAAATGCATTTATTTAAACTCTATATGGTTTGTTTTAAAAAAATCAGATAATATGACTGTTAGTGCTTTGTACCCTCAAGCTTTGATGAAAGTTAATTATAAGTCAACATCTTTTGTGCAAGAACTGCATATGCCCCTTTTTGTTCTTCCCCATTTCAGCCAATGAATGCAAACCAGACTTCTGTTGAAGATACACCTTGTCAGAGCAGCATTAAGGCCAATTCCTTACCCTATGGTGTGTTCAAAATGGATGTCGTCCACAGAAGCAGTGATACAGGAACAACCGGCATGTCTCTCAGCTGGCAGAGTAGCAATTACACAAATATTTAGGTAGTGCAGCACAAAGCCATACAGCATCTGCATGTCAGGCAAATGAAAAGCTTATTTCTAATGAAAAGGTTATTTCTATAACATTTATAATATTTTTGCTATCCTTTCAATGCCTCTGGTTGTAACAGGCCATTGTGGGCAATGTAGCAAATAAATGAGCAGAGATTCAAGGCCAAAATTCAGCTTTGATGTAATTTTTTCACATTGTGATAAAGTGCATAGATTTCTCAGGTTTGCTGGGTTAATCAAAAACTAGTTATGAATGTAGTTACGGTTTCAGGAATTCTGGATGGCACATTAAACACACGCAGAAATGAGTTTTTAAGAGAATTTAATTTATACTGTATGGCCACCTCTTCTTGCTAATACTTCAGTGGACATGACAGAATTTTCTTGCAGTTATTATGTAGCAGTTACAATGAGAGTTACACGCAGTGAAGATGTAAGAAAACTGTGGCCATGTGAGAAGTCTCAGATCATCCTTACATTTTTAAATTGTAAAAATGAGAGATTTTCTGACCCTTTCATACCAGATAAACAGGCTGTGGAGTCCATCCACTTCAGCAGCTGCCCAACACTCAGCTCCCCATGGTGGTTGGCATGGCAGGGCAGCACGATCTGACTCATCTTCACTTCAGTGGGATTCCTGTACACTTCCTCACTCTCCTGAATGTACAGGAGGTCCAGCACTGTGTCAGCATCTTTCCCTGTTGACATAATAACTCACAACTAAAAAGACAAGATAAGAGAAAAATTAGCTACAGACAAAATTGTTGCCACAAAACATATAATTGGAATCTGTATTAATTTAGAATCAGCAACTCTAGGCTAAAACTAGACAACAACAAAGTTATTACTACAAATCTATTGAATCATTTGCATGACCGCCTTAAATCTGGAATTCTCAGCAAAGTTCTCCACATAACGCATTAAACAGCTTTTTTCTGCAACAATCCCCAGACCCCTGCAACATAAAGCGCTTTAACTAATCTGCAAAGTTTGTCGTCTGAAGAATTGCTTAACGTTTCTCCACCAATACACTAAATGGTGCATTCATGGGAACTGTTGCTAAAAACATCATGATCGAAGTAGCCCCCCCCTCCAGTGGGGCTCACGTGTGGTTGTCAGCTGACATTGCCAGGGACGACAGTGACCTCTAATTTAACTTCTTCTGTCCCAGTTAACAGTAGGATAAAAAAGCGTCATGCGGAAAACGGCGATATTTAACCCATCTTACTAATTCTTCTTATTCTGCCATAACATCTGTTAACACACCGACATATTTAACATTTAAAGCAACACAAATGGCTTACCCACGTTTAAAGTTTCCACTGACGATAAAGTTGAGATTTTAAAAGTGCCACTGAACGTCAGACTGAGAAACAGCAGCCTGAACCCCACATCTCCTTACATCACCCACTCGTCAGCAATTCAACAACATAGCCTAATAATAAACACAAACGCAGTTTGCGTTCACCACCACCAAGTACCAAAGAGTTTCTCCACTAGAGGGGGGGAGAGGCAGAGAGCCCGGCCCCTGTGGTGGGTACAGTTACGTCTCGCATTTTAAGGTGGAACTGCGGTCACCTCACTTTTAGGAGCGCTTAAAGACTCCATCCAGTATCTAATCACTGAGCAACGATATCTGACTGTGTATATCTTGTCCGCATTCTTATTTAAGGTTTTGTCACGTCGTTGAAGTAAAGGTCTAGATAATTTTTGATTCTAAAACAGTTTGCTCAAATAAAGAACATAGTCTTTATTCTGACAATAAAAATTAATATCATGTCATATGATATGTATCATTAAACAGCTAATAAAAATAAAACAGATAATGTGGAATAAAAAGTATTATATTACTTTAAATTTTTGGATTTACGGACCAAGGGTGTTGTATGCTTATAGATCGTATTTATAACCCCTAGAAGTAAATTTGCGATATAAATAATATTAGACTTGATTTGGCCTTCACTCACTTGGTAAAGGGGGAAATCTTTCCGAACTTCATATTTTAGAAATGCTGAAAGTGGTAATATATTTTAGACGATAAAAGATAAACACCTTGCCTTTAAGCTAAGATAAACCAAACCAAAGTCAAGCAAACAGTTACAGAGGCATTATTTCTTAATTTCTTATTTAATTTAAGATTATTGATATCGCAACGTCAAACCAGCCAATTGAACGCACAAGAGAGACCTTAAGGCAAATAGCGAGCTCTCATTGGCTGTCAGAATCCTCAGTCATGGCTGGCACCGCCTCTTCCCCTCGGACCAGGTTCGGTTGAGTCGGAGTGCGGTTGGAGTGCGAGAGGGTCGCGGCCGCGATGATCTGACAGATGTAATAGCGAAAAAAAGACTGAGAAGGCGGGCGTTCTCCCACACTAAACAATGTTCCCCAAAGGTAAAGGCACCCCGGTGCCGTCGGACAGCCAGGCACGAGAAAAGTAAGCTCAGAAACGTTTCTTATTGTCTATTTTCGTCTCGTAAGTTGCTCCGTCTTGTTCTCTGTTGTTCGCTGGACAGGCTAGCAGGAGGCGATTTCCTCCTACCGAGAACTGAATTGAATGAACCGCCTTGTCTCGCCATTCCTTCTCGGAGCTGTGTTTCTGCTATTTTTGGCTCTTTGCCGTTTCTTTACTCAGTCCCGACCGATTCCGGGTGCAGTTTGGTAGTGCTTAAACCCGCGGGTGTCTCATATTTTTGCGGTTATTCAGTCGAGAGCACCGACAGGAGAAAACAATAACATCGCCCTGCCACACAGTACATTGTTTTCTCTGTTGCGCTCTGTGATTGGGATCCGTTTTTATTTCCCTCAGCCCCATCAGTACCACCAGGATATTACACACAGCGTGTTGCTGCTCTGCTTTCTTGTCTCACATCACGACGTTAAATCATACTGCTGCTTTAGTACTTTCTTTTCCTTTGTTGTGAACCTTCACCATCTTAGCTTGGTTACATAGACCCCATTTAATTTTCTGGCATAGGCTATTTGGCAGCCATTGTTCAGAGGGCCTGTACCCGACTCTGGACACAAAGTGTGCCCGTGGAACAGCATTTAACCTGATGTTTGACGTTCATTTTTGCCATTTTGTAACGTTTTTCACCATAAATATAATCAAGAATTATACACATTTATTTATTTTGCACAGGTTGGCTCTATATGTCTATGAGTATTTGTTACACATAGGAGCACAGAAGTCTGCACAGACCTTTTTATCAGAGGTATGTGGAATTTTGATGAAAAGTTCAAACATGTTAGATTGTGCTTTATATCTGAAACGCTTATTTATATGCAGTGTTTTTTTGTGACAACAATCTTAAACAATTTTTGATTGACACCAACTGGTAATTTTTGAAAACTCATTCCTTAGATCCGATGGGAGAAAAATATAACACTCGGAGAACCACCTGGATTCCTGCATTCCTGGTGGTGGTAAGTGATTATATTCTTTTCTCCCTGGAAACATGTTCAGGGGTTGTTTGTGTGTTTTTGCTTACTTCATGACCTGTCTTGTCCACAGTGTATTCTGGGACTTGTATTGTGCTGCACCAGAGAGGAGAGAGACATGTGACCACTCCAGTGAAGCAAAAGCCTTTCATGACTACGTGAGTAGTGCTTAAACAGGGACTGTTGCACATATTGCTGTTTTCTGCTAAAGAAGACAACTTTATCAATGCTAAGAAGAGGTGTAAATAACACACCTCCAAATCAGATTGTGCAATGAGTCTGAATTATTTTTTTTGTGGGAGCTATCAAAACAAAGCCCTTGTTCTCTCTGTCAACGCTCAAGTCCTGACAGCATCTCTCACATTCTCCTTCAAGAGCAATACAGCTGCCACGCATCAGGTTGTTGTGATTCCTGTTTAGCTTGAAGAACTATCATGCTTCACTCTCATGTTTTTTATGCATTTTCTTACTGTTTTGCACATAGATTTAGATATGTAAGTGATTTAGTATCTCCCACTGAATCTTTGTACAGTATCTGTATTTATATGCCTAATGCAGTTGGGGATTGAGCAGTATTTTTTTTTTGATCTCTTGAATTTACAATCACTCATCATGTCCTGTTGATTGGTCGAATGAAGCGTCCAACAACGAGCTTTATAAGCTTCTGGGAAAATGATGCTGATGTCAGCATGTCCTGAGTCAGACCCGTTGAGTGCTGCCCTCTTTATCTAAACTACGCTCGATCAGCCTGCTTCAGTTGTGAAGACAAAAAAGGACCTGCTGTGTGTTAATCATGACTTCTACCACTTTGATTTTTGACAAAGACCCCCAGCTGTTATAACTTGTGGTAGCTCAAGTATATGTTGAAACATATTGCATGCAGTGGCTCAAACCTACTGGATTTTAAACTGGAATTTGGAGATGGTGCTCTGAACAAGTGCTTTGTTCAGTAACACATTGCTCCTCTTAGGTTAACACTTCCATATTTGCATGGTATTGGTGTTTTGCATCATGATCATTATGCCATTTTGGAGATGTGCTGCATTGTTTCCTGCTGTGAGCATTCAGAAAGAAAGTGGAAAATGCTTGTCAATGGCTTTTGTTGGTCCTATCCCTGTATTTCTCTGGTCATAAGTTAAAAGATTGCCAGAAATCGTGTAGCTGATATAAATAAAATAAAAATACTATTCAGGTTTTGCTGTACCAGCAGAGTAAAAGAAAGAGATTTGAGGTTAAGGAGTCCTCTTGGGATGTCTTAAACACAGCACAGTTTGTAGGTAGGTTGGTGATGTATCAGGCACAAAAGGGTTAAAACGGAGATGCTGGTCCTGCTCTTGGCAGATAGTGTTGTCAGGGTAACAGGCCTCCTGATCTGGCAGGTGACCTGGGAGCCAGGAGAGAAGCTTCAGCATGGCTTTGCCCTTTCAATAACTACATCCCTTATTATTTTAGCTCAAACAGACCAAGGAGAAGAGCATTTTGTTTGAAACTGGTTTGTCATTGTCCGCCTAACGTGCTTCATGGTAGTCGATTGCAATGTCTTTGATTGCATTTGGTTGCTTATTTTAGTAGGATGTGCTTTTGTGTTTGTGTAATAGTATCTTAAATTGTAGAAGACAAGAAGGTGGCATTGATTTCAGAATTATTCATTTGTTTTGGGAAATAATAATTCCAGACCTGATTTAAAGATTATTATATTATTAAAATTTATGACATCTTATGTGTCAAGTGAAAGGGTAAGAACGCCTGAAAATTACTTTGCGGTTTTCCCTGTTAAAATGAGGAAGTATTGTCAGATCAGCTTTGAAAGAATTAACAACACAAAATAAGCTGTGAGATTGCAGCCCTTGGTTTGACAGATACCATTTTCATAACATGGAAAACATTAGGCAAATGAGGGAGTAGTGAAACGTCAGTGCTGGCAGTATGCTGCTTTGGTGTGGAGTTTTTAAGACTTTCAGTGTGGTTGGCTCTCCCCGACATCTTGTGGTTGCCCTTTGCTCTGATTTTGGCTCTCCCCATGTTCATTTGTGGATGGTGGGGGGGGTGGGGGTGTGGGGGGGT